TAGTTATCCTCATCTTTGTTGTGGTCTGTCGTTATGCTAGTTACTGTTATATGTATGTATGTATGTATGTATATAAATGCAACTGAAAAAACCAATAATGGTCATAATTAAGCTAGAGAAGCCAACCGAAAGGATTTAGACTTCTAAGAGTATTCGAAGAGGCACGAAGCACAGAGAGCTGTTCCTCTCGGTGAACCAGTTATTTAAATACTGCAGGGCAGTTGGCGTCGTTCGTAATAGTTAATTTGGCAGTGTGGCGTGAATTACAACTTAGGTACTATTTCCAAAAACTTGTATTCTTGACAAAAGCAAATAGATTATGTTTATTCGGTTTGTTAAATTAACTTAGCCTTATCTGTTTTGTTAGACAAAAAACATGACGAAGCCCGGGAACAAGCTACCTTTCTTCTCTCATTTGCTGTAGTTTCTATTTCTGCACGAACCCGATGAAGATTGAACCAGCTGCAATCATCAACGAGAATCCAGTATTATCATATTGTTATTGTGTGTCTGCATAATATTATATGCACATATTAACTTTGACAGGCTGCCGGCCAGCTGTGGCATTTTGATACAAGGCAAGACGCGCAAAAACCCATCTACGGAGTTGGCAAGGATGTGCTCGTAAACTAAATACTAGTTTTCTACCTGTCGAATACATATCTGTCCTTGACATTCGACGATTTTACGTCTAGCAGTGGCCGGACCCGTGACGAACGGTCGGATAGGTTTTAATATTGAACCTTTTTCAGACCATAGCAAAATATAGTATCATTAACCTGTACCAGAGCAAATGTAAGTTGCGTGGCTAACTGCTATTTTGGTTGCCTAAAATTAAACAAATGTTCTTTCAAGTATACTACAATACTCTCGTACGTATGATAAGGCCGTTCTGTTCACGATTTCAGGGACTGGATTATTTATAAAACATACAATTGAGCTTGCTCGGGGCTAGAGAGAAAAATCATGTTCCACTATAATTATTATTATCATCAATTTTGGAATTGTACTACAGCAGAGAAGTAACGTCAATGTTGCACTTGTGGAGCCCTTTCTTTTTGTTTTTTTTTTTACTATTAAGCAATTACTATTGACAATACAGTCGGTAACATCGTGCAGTAAATTTCCATTATAGTTGACGCCTCTTTCTGAACGCTTCTTTTCACAAAATCAAAGAGGTCTACAAACAAATAAAATTATTATTAAACACATATACAGTACGTCATCGTCTATACGCCGAGCACTCCCCAAGCTTTGTTGCATTATACCCATGCAACTACCTGCACGGTTATATCAACTGCCCTAGAAATTAGCCAGCGCCCGAATACGGCGATCGTCTGCTGGAACAAAGACGCGCTTGTGTTCCATACGTAACTTTATATGTAGGAGGCTAGACATGAGACTTTTGCGCTCAATGGAAGACACCTTTTTTTTTCTTTATTCTTATGACAATAAGTTACGTACCCCTGTAACTATTGACGACTTTCTCTCATCTTTTCATCAAACGATGTCCGATACATCTTGCCAGGAAGTTTCCCGCGTCACGCAGGAGATTTTTTTTTGATCTACTAGTTGTATAGATTTAGAAGGACAAACTTATTCTATATTTCAATGAACTCATATCGTTACTAAACCACATATCAATCAACGAAACGAGAATCTGCTATGGATTAAAAATAGCAAAAGGTAACACAAAAAGTCGTTAATTATAAATATGGTCGGTGGACCAAGACCCTAAGTGAATAGGTTCCTTGAATGACTGGTGTGGATACTTGTACAGCCGCTCTTCTATGACCTGCGACACAGCCGAACTGTAATTATTCATTGTACGCGCTTACATAGTCATACGAGTCCTTAGCCGCGATGACATCCTGTTTCCATAGCGGAGTGAAGACCTTGATGAATTACTATGTAGAGGAAGTTTCTAGATAAGAGCTTTGCATGCGGTTTGACGTACGCTCACTATACTCATTATTGTTCGCTCTGATAGATAACTATCTATAGAAAAATCTATTAAGAATGTACATAAGTCCGAGATTGTGTGCTTTCGGCTAATTGTTTCGGTTGCGATACTTCAGCCGCTTCGGCACGGCCCGATAATGGTTATTTGTACACCCAAAAAGGGTCTGTGATGCAACACACAATCGAGGTACAAATTCCGCTCGTCTGACACGTTGTTACGCACAACTGTAACTGGAACTTAAAGCTATTATACTTTGGTCCTTGCCACTATTTCGATGGGTACGACAGTAAATTATTGGCACATTTCTTCGGTCGCCCTTCTTTCAAGCCGGTGCGGACGCCATTCGACATGTGGCAACAATTTGAATATATTCTCATAAAATTAAATTTAACAAATAGCAATAAAATCTATAGGGCCCGTTGTGAAACCCACAGATGCTTGAATTGGATTGCTGGTCGCAAACTTCCGCACCGTTGTGCTTTCATCATAGGGGAACGCTAAGCATTGAAGTCGGAAACAACTCTCAACACCGCTGCTAGTCGTATTAAACACGAATGTTTAACATGGGGCCTGTGTGGCTCAGATCTAGTCGGAGGCTAAGGATTGAAAAACAGAGGAAGATAAACGCATATTTCAAGGACTGAATTTGTTTAGAGAATGATATCTGAATATAGTTCCCTCATTATGGCTCTAATGACGATCTAAATAGATTAAAAGGATAGTGAAAAAAGCTTTGAATACCGTTGTTGTTCTATGGGCTGTTGATTAGATAAAGGTAGTAGAACGGCGCCGAGAGGTTTTCTGGTCCTCAAGATTTGGGTTTTACCTATACTTCTTGTTATGCTTTGCTATTCAAACTACGGGGCTAGAATCTATCTGCTGAGCATGTTTAATTTTTTTTCAAGCACTAACTATTCGAGAAGTGGAGGCCTCTACACGACTAAAAAAGGAATCTTAAGATTGGTGTGATGTGATTGTCCGCTTTAACGCAGTAGTACTTTATTTACCTATGAATAAGACCAGTCTATAAGTAAGTTGTGAAACCTGTTTATTAAGCCAACTACGCTGTCGTGACTCAGGCCCAAAGGTCAGAACGTAGCTACGTTATCGTTGTTCGTTAATTTAACTGGCCACTGAAACTTCTCGAGCTTTTGTTAACGTCAGCTGCGTTAGCTGAACATTCTTTTCGGGTCCTTATCTATATGTGGCATTGTTAAATGGTATCTTCTTATAAGGACCGCTTCGGAACGGCGGCACAGGCACAGAACGTTATCACAAAAACATAAGGTAGTATCTATTGGAGATGCTGTAGCTGAAGGCTGACCAGAACCTGACATTACTACTACGAAAATAGCCACCAAGATAACCCACGAGCTTTAACGGCACCCAGATGTTCTCAAGTAGCCAATAATTATTTACCGAATCAAAGCGACTATTACTAATATTATATTCAGAATGCTTATTAAGGTTTATTGACACATCCAGCAAAAATAAGCTATCACCTCATCAGCCTCTGGTAATCCTAATTTTTTTTTATTATTTTATTAAAATGTTCAGCCGAAAACAAGCAACACTTGCGGCTTCAAGTCGGAAACTCGTAATTAAATTTGTATGACTGGCAGTAACGGCGAGCAGAAGTTCCCTCGAAAAACGCATGAAACGCAAGCTAATTTACTATCGTATATGTAATGCGATATAAACAGAATCGAATTATCCTTCTCCAGCCATTATCGGGACACTTATTAAATAAAAGTCTATGAATTTCGTTTTTTCCTTACGATTATACGTCCATACGATTAATTTCTTTACATGCACATGCGTCTCAGGTAGTGCTTACGTTGAGCTGAGCTTCCACTGAAGCAAGCTTACCAATCCGAATGGAGGGAGTCGACAAGAGACTTCGCATGAGAGTGCAATGGTAGAACGACAACAAGACTTTAGTAACGTTTAGGACTTCGGGCCGACCAGCCCTTACGTCTAACGATATATTGCATACGAATCGGCCCGTAACTATGGCTGGAAGGGGGGATCTAGGCCATAGCTCGTGCGTGACCGGGTTGCACTGGATAAATTTCATACAGAAATACCAGCGGCCATGAGGCCTCAATAAGGCAAGCGATGCTCGCGGGTCAATCGTCGTTGGACGTTCGGGTAAGCACAGACAGACCACAATATCGACTACATTTCCTTGACGCACATACTTTTCAATAAGTGTCTTGGTTTTATATACTTAAATAAAATATTTTTTCGTCCCGCTGGAGCTCACGCACGTGCTGAAGCAACGCACATTGACGCATATCCGGAATATGGAAGACCTACATTTGCTTATAAGCTCTTCATCTAATAGTTAACCTTTCGGAGAACATCGCACAGCCGAAACACTTTCTGTTTCTGTGTTTGTCGGCTCGATCGCAAGAGCTTTTTTTTGGGCCGAAGGAAGTCGTTATGTATAGCCGAATTACCGGTCAAGCTCGTCAGCGAAAACATTATTGACAATGGAAGTTAATACTATTTAACTGAACGTTAGCTGTCCTAGAAGTCCTAAAAGGTTATAACTTTCACTATCATTTTGATTTGGTGCAGACGTGTATATAGGAACGCCCCAGGGTTAAGAAGGAAGATACTTCAAACATCGGCATTTATTTATTGCTCCTCGTTACAACAATGTTGTTGCTCATCTATGGGAGTTATGTAATAAATATACAGTTTATGGTATAAGTCCCATAACAGTATAACCAAGGCTTAGCTCAACTGTTTTTTACATTTACAGCCACAGTCATTGTAATAAGTCATTGTAACAGAATGATAACAACGGATTGGCTTGAGGAAGAAATAATAAAAGGTAGATAAATAATGTGATTTCGTACTTTAGCAACATCAATTTGACATTTTCGCAAATTTTTGTTTAAATAAATGCTTAAATTATCTATACTTCTACTATTCTTGTTTTTTTTTTTTTGGTAGTATTTGCTAGTCTGATGTCCACTCGATGGAGCCAGTGTAACAACTATAACCTCCCGCAGAAATGAGCGCCTACCTTTTCACGCAGTTGCAGAGGCGACTTCTTTATTGCTTCAAATCTACTCCAAATGTAATAGTAATCATAATATTAGGTTCTGATTTACCTGCAATAAATAGCCAGTAAAAGCATGACTGAAGGCTCTATCGACGTGTGCAATAACTGGTCCTATTCACAAAATTATAAATGCGTGCTTTACATTCATGTAAAAAAACAAATCGATTTGTCTGCATTTGAGAATAACCCGTGACTTTTTCAGGCACTTGATAGCGCTTGTCAGTGCTCAAAACGTGTTTATCGATTGAATTACAGCCCAAAAACACCTAAAACGACTTCTTTAAAATTACATGCGTCCATTTCCTTCAAGATGAAGGATGAAGTATTGCGAGATAGCACTACCCAAAAATCTTCAGCTGACAGTCTAATTTAGCGCTAGCCAAAGGGACGACTCCTGTACGATCGAGATGAGGCAGGCTGCACTTTTATCCTCGGCACTCGGTACGTGTTACTCAAAATTTCTAGTTCTCAGTAATTATGCCCGTACAATTTACAAAAATGAAAGGTAATGACCGTAGAGCAAATGTACCACGTCTGCATGATGGAGATTCTGTATTGAAATCAATTTTCTATATGATAAGTCTTGTATCACTGTTGTGTTGGTTTCCTACCATTCATTGAAGAACGGGACAATTTGCGTGAGTAAAACAACCGCTTATTGTGACGACACCTAATGGTTACATAGCTCGCCTTTGAATAGTGTTTTGCTAGATCTGTGCTTTCACCAACAAAGATTAAAGAGTATATATCTGACAAATGGAATTACAGTATACGGACATATTAAATATATTATTGATTGTCCTAATAGCCTATAAACGACATGTAAACTGATCCGCTATGTGCCTGGAAAACACGCTCAGAAGATTCTTTTCTAGTTTCCACCGATCCATTCGAGTCACATTTAAACAAATCGATCTTTATTATAGAAATTTGTCAGGGCCTTCGTGCAGCAAACCAGCCATAGTATATTCTGGCTTCCAAGTCACCAGTTAATAGGGAGCATCCAGTTTACATTAGTGTTACCTGTGAGCTTGGCGCTTCAAATTCAGAGTTGTCTGTAGCCAAAAATCCATGAGAGTAGGTACCTTCTCAATCGGTGCTTAATTTATTTCGACATAAGTACCAAAGGGGGAAAAACAAATCGCTCGTGCAGCCTTGCCAAAAGATGCGTTAATAAGCAGAGACACAAACAAAGTGACACAGCGTTTGCTCTGATCGCCTGACCGTATTGAGACACAGTCACCGTCTTCCCATTGGGATTTAACGCCACAAGGACACATCGATTCCATTCGCGCGTATAGCCTACAATGAATTCGATTGTACGGTGACAGCTAAGTTAATTCCCGACGCTAAAACCCCGTGGTTTTCTCTAATTAGCAGTAACAACGACCACCAACTTTTAGCGTAACTCCCCGTCATCAGCCGACGCCTATCTGCACCCTGGTTCGGTCGTTTCTAAAACCCTAATGATTGTGTGACGTCTTTTCTGCTTGCTTTTACATCTCCTTCTCGTTTAATACCTTCTTTAAATACTGTCCTCTTTTTTTTTCTTTTCTTTTTTCTAGGTATTGTGTACCCTGCTTGTATCTCACCTCCTGTTTTCAGATTGGGATGTCTTCTCTTGTTGTCGTTTGATTGAACAAACAACACCCGCCCACCGGACTGATCTTGCCTTGACCACCTCGCTGCTAAAGATGGGGCTGAATCGAGCAAGCTGTATAACACTTTTTATTACTGTAGCATAACCCCACCAGCTGTACGCAGTCGGATGAAGCCGCGCACGGTGTTGAAGTTCACCCCAGTAGCTCGAGCACTTAACGTTGCGTTGGTCCTTTGCGTTTGTAGCAGGCGTCACCCGACAGGTGGTGCCACCGATGGCTTTGGCTAAGCTACAGGTGGCAGTTCGTTGTTCCCGCAACCACAATTATCGCAGCTGCTTTTTCGACCACAGCGACCTCCTCTATCACTGTTTTTGTCAAAACGATCAATCCAGCTTCTTCGTTGTAGCTTGTCGGCTCTGTAACTGTTTGGGCAATGTCGATGAATCTACTCATCACTCAACACTTTTAACTTACTTTTCATACGGCTACTAGGAAAATTTGGACGACAATGTGACAACCATGATGGCCGAAATAGCGTTGGTAATGAGAGTGACGTCCCGCGAGAGCCTTCTCACAACACCTTCCACTGGTGTCGTTACTCTATAGGACTACCAGCTTTTTCCGTTTACCAGCATCGTATCAATATAACTGTAACCCATAAACGAATGAACGCATTCCTACGAAAACAGAACACAGCCGCACTATTTGAACTTCTGCAAAGATATGCTAGCACTTGTAGTGGTCCGCGATCTTCAGTGAATGGGACCACCTCATACGAGGAGCAGCTAGAATCTCGTGCGAGGTGCGAGGATCGTGAAGTGCGGAGGTCGTAATGCTCAGTCCACTGATGCGTGACGATAACATATAACTTTGCTGTTCACGCTGCTGGGTAATCCTGGTTATTCGTAACTCGCTGATTCGATCAAACGTCTGACTAAGCAGCCTATTGTGTGTAACCACTTCGGTGAACGTAGCGTGAAGTCACACTGTTTTATCGTGTTTAGTAAAAGCGGAAGTGAGTGACAATGAAGATTTTTGCTTTTGCACTGGAACTGTTGGAGTTAACGACGTTGACTGCGATATTGATTGAAGGGGCCAACGATTGACGACAGTTGATGTCGATGCCTGCAATAATAGCCAAAATCGAAATTGCAGGGTAGTGAATTTGTGTAGTAATAGCGATACTTGCTACTGCTATCAGTGGTCGATTCAAATAAGTTTTGAGGATCTGTGCGAAACGAAGGAAAATAGCAATTGGGTGCAAGCGTCGGTAATGACGATTCTATACTCAATTGATGTAGATAATCGCTCTTATAACGGTGCTCTTGACGTCGTCAATGAAAAAACACTGTCGTCGAAAACATCATTTTAGTTTCCATTCCTTTCGACGTTCTGCACTCGCCAATAGGCTCGACCTACTCTCAACAGCGACCTGAGTTGCTTTGCTGTGCGAGCCTGGTTCAACTTTACTGGCCGATGTCCTAGAAGCGCTCTCAGTAAAACTCGGTGTTGAGCAGTAACGGTTTCGGCCTGCTTGGGGGTCGCAACAACCACCTGTTGTAACTAGTGGCAGCTATGGGAGCAAGCACTGGAGGAGGGCTTTGATTTTATTGCGTCATTGTCGACGATTTGCGCGACGACCATTTGTCCACAACACGGTAGGCCATATAGCTATTGTTAAATTTGGATTAAGGACCAAATAGTTGAGTAGTCGTGGTAATTGGATACTTAGAACTTGTTGTGTTTAGGTAGAGCTAGACTTGTAATACGAACAATTGGAACTTTCTAAAAGGTATTTATGGTTCAACTTCTGTTCCTGTAGTTACGCGGGCGTTCAGTTGAGATATCCAGCGCTCGCCACTAGAACTCCGGGATTTCGCTCAGTGTTGGTACCGAGTAACTAATCCTGCAGAATCTCAATGGGACCATCAATTCGTGCGAAACGTAGTACCCGCTTCGTTTGTAGCCTCAAACCCTTTTACCAGGACCACTCCGACGTCCGCTGTGCTCTTCCCATTAGGCACAAGTGATACAAGGACACCGCTTGTCAACTGTTTGAATGATCGATCCCTATTCACGACACCAGCCTGAACGAAAACAACTATGAAAACACAGTTTCACAGTAATGGCTGTGACGATCTCGGATTTTCTGATCGTGTCACGAAAACTTATCGTTGCTTCGATAACATCGACGTTATTAAAACCATCGGCGCAGAACAGCCAGTCGTGCACTTCTTCGACAAACGACAAAAACGCTGATAGTGGTTCACGATCATGGTGAAAGACTCTTCGGATGTAGACCAGGTGCTGATCCCTGATTTACTGCGTCGCGTACTACATCGACGTTTTTTTATAGAGCTACACTTTCGTAGCTCAGTTTAGTTCGTTAGATTTCGTCGGTGGTCGTCACCTGCTTGTTAGCGGCGTATTCGCCTTCTGTTGGTGCTACTACCACTTCAAATAAAACAACTCCCACCGAAAAACTCAGCCCGTTCGCCTTTAGTTTCGTTGCCTTCTCGAGATATTGTCGCTTACACTGGCTCACTGTCACTACGTACTTTTCTTTTCAGCGGCAACAGCGACGGTAACAGCAGCAGCGCAGCGGCTCCAACTACAGTAGCTATTGGTTCAACAACGGAGAGGAACACATAGTCAGCGGGTGGAGAAAAGCTGCACCTACCGCCTCCTGCACCTTCGAGAGAGGTTGTGCTCTGGCAGGCTCATCGGTCCGGCCTGCTTTTGCTCTACGTGCCTATCTTTCTGTCTGACTTTGTTCGTCTTCCCTTCGGCTGAGTGCGGTTCGTTCGCTCGCGGCCTGTTTAGCTGCGGATGACGCTGCCTGTGTCTGTTGTCTGTTTTCCTGTGAATCCACGAAAGGCCGCCGGCTGTGAGAGTTGTCTGGATGTGTACGGCGGCGACGGCGGTGGCGGCAGGGGCGCACTCTCTATCGCCCTCCACGGTTCCTGAGTATGCCCCTATTCGCCCGTGTGAGGGTGTGTATGGCCATTGCAGATGTGTGGCTGTGCGTAAGTCTCCGTATGTATGTGTGAGTGTGGTGCGCGCGCCGTAATTGTAGTTTCGGAGAGGTTCGTCGGCCGGTCTCATTCTCGGTCTCTTTCGCTGACGTACGTTCCCCTTGGTCTTCTGGCTGGTAGAAGCTGATGGGGTTCCAACCCTATCTTTCCCGAGAGATCGGCATCGTCAGAAAGCAGCGCTACGAAAACGGACGTTTCCTGCTTTGTATGCCATTGTGGGCAGGTCGGACGACCAGAACACCTAGACGGAGTTATGTCAATGTCGAGGGCATGGAGGGAAGCCGTAGAGGAAAGGGGCCCGGCTGATCAGAGCCCTAGTGAGGGGAAGGGGGAGGTGCGAATCGGAAGAACAGAATTTTTTCTCCTAACCGGATAAGGAAGAGCGAAAAAAAATGCAGTTGAGGAAAGAAGCAACGGTCAGCAGTAGAGAGGACAGCAGATAGATCTATAGCCAAATAACCGATATAGGACGCCGTTTAAAAAAGGATTAGACTTTGTGTCGCTTTTTCGTCCTTATATCTACCGAATGTCTCAAGTGACGATTACATTAAGGTGGATAATATCAAAAGGTATTCATGTCAATGAATTTACGTCTGAAAGCACATTGTAGTGTATGTTAATGCTAAATTAGAGTATCAGACAATACTATGATAATTTGAAACTAGGCGCCACTAGGCTGATAGCGCGGCTAATTTAAAAACTACAGACACATCATAAATTACTAACTTGTGAATCGACCTAAACTAGCTCATGCACGTGAAGGTCGCTGATATATCCTGCTCAGTCATACTGACGTATTGACAATAACAACAGATTTGTATATGTGAGCTGATGACGTTGTATATGTAAGTGGGCTAATGACAATTACGAGAATATGTAGTTCTGTCAGTAACTAAAAAACTATAGCAATGCCGGTGCTATCCGTAGTTAGCTTACTGAAGGCACCGGTAAACGCCTACTTATGATTTTCTAGTGTGGTCCGCGGTTCCATCAATTACAGCAGCAGTAGGCTGAGGAGCTTTGAAACAAGTTTTCTGAGCTCGACGCATGTGCGACTCCAAGTTGCCGCTCTGCGCAAATTGGTCCCGCACATACGCTTCGGGCTTCTATCAGATCTTGTTCTTCCAACAACCGCCACGCGTCCCGTGCATTGTCCCTTCTCTCGGCTCTATACTTGGAAATAGCCTGTCGTAAGACTCGTCTTTCCATCATCACCGTGTGAGTAGAGTAGCACAGTGGAATGAAGGGAAGAGCTCTCCACCGGTCGACTGATAGTCTACACATAAGCAAACCTATGGGTGAACATTGAAGGGATGGCCAGATAGAGCCAAAGGGAAAAGTACAGAACTATATTTGAGAATATAGTCGACGCTTCTGACGCTTCTTCCGGAAGGATTTCAGACAAAGAAATCGTAAAAATTCGTGCTGTTTGTATAAAACTTATTCCAATAAATAGCTGCTGGGTTGGGTTCACAGGGTGAGCAGGGTAATAGCTTTACATTACGCTATGGGCCTAGATTATCTGGCGTCGTAAAGAACCCAGCTACGATGGCCTCGGCAAATTCATCTAAGTGGTGGTGTCCGCCAGTCCTTTTTGTCAAGTCTTAGTATTAATAGTAGCAAAAGAAGATCCGGGCTGGTATAAAGTGATGTAATAAGGTGCCGACTGAGAGTTCATGCGCAGTGGTGTCGACCGACGCAACGAAGTTTAACCGTCCAAGTCGAGTCCCACACTCGGCCCAGGTTTAATCCTGGTGGTGTATAAATTACGTTATTCAACCCTCCAAGCAAGATGTGTCGCGTTATTATAATTTCGTCAAAATGAAGTCATGTCTCTGATATTTGCTACTGGCTTTAGTTTGCGAATGTCTAAGTTCGCATTATCTCAATACAAACTTTAAACATGTAGTTACTAGCGCAGTGCTGGAATCAGATAGGTTAACGGAGTTACGTCCAGAACAGTTACCTCCAGCATCTCGCACGTTTCATTTTAACTAAGGAGAGATAAAAAAGTACGATAGAGCTAACGCCGACTAAGGGCCAGCTATTTTCTAATAGCTATAACCTGTTTGAATGAACGCATTTACAAGAACGATTTCACTGAGTTACCAAGCTGGCGATCCTTCATTTATAAGGAATAAGTATGAGAAACTTGGAAATCACTGGAGTTCTGTTGATTAGCCTTGACAAAAGTCGAACATTGGGATAAAATCGATATTGTGCAAGGTATGGGCGATCTCGCATCGAAGTTAGCGACGAAAAGCTAAGATATACATCAACATGACAATGGAAACATTGAAGAATATCTCGCTGCAAATCTGGCAGGAGTTACGGGATTGTGTTAAATCTACCATATTTTCTCTTCCCCTTTATAAGTTTTTCTTCTCCGAACGCCGTCGAAAAGCTTCGTCGTCATTCAGATTGTGAAAAATAAAGTTGCATTTAAACTGTAAAGATGGCCATATCGGGAAAAATAACTTCCATGGAGACTTCTTACCGATACCGAATTTGATGAGCTCTATAGTAGAAAAATACAGACTCATCTAAAAATGATCCAACTTTTGAAGTTCTGGAAGCCATTTTTGAGTAAGGTTCTCAGCTATACCACACCTCATTTTTTTACTTCGGCCAACCACGAGTGTGTTCAAACATATGTTAAAACTGTTATTTAAAAAACGATAACAACTTTGCAAGAAAAGCTTTTAAATGACACACAATTTTAATTGTGAAGTGGGAGAAAGTCACCAGAAAAGCAGGAAAACTATACGAAATAGTCGTAGTTTCCTCAACTGCTCAATAAGTATTCATAGTTGGTACTCTGTCTAAGAGTTGGTGGCACCAATCGCTAATAGAAGAGATATAATCGACTGAACAAAGTATAATCGATCCCCTTCAGCCGAACACGGACATTCTATCTGCAACAAAATACATTTTAGATGCCGCAAGTTACTTCAAACCTGTTGACGTGGGGACCAGAAATCGGCCCTGTACTGACATGACGCAGCTGCACCTAGAACCTTTACAGGTGTAGGTTACCCCTGGCAATAGCGGAGCGACTGAAGCAGCATCTCGCGAGGAGTATTTCTCTTTACTTCATTCTCCACTACAAGACCGCGTAACAGTTCCAGCTTTTTGGCTAAACACCTGCTGTCATTATGCTGTCGGGTCTTCCGTCTCAGCAATTGCATCCCTTTCAATGGACAAGTATGTACGCACGGCACCCTCACCCTCTGCGCGAAACCTCCTGTAAGGAGCGATTTCCCTTCCCACAACAGCGAGCTGTGGCCTTCTACACCTTACACTCATTACATCCATCCTATGAACCTGCATTACCAAGCACACTCATTTGTGCATAGCTAACTGGTATTACTGCAATACCGTCAAATAAGCAAATTGGTGGCGCAGTGCTTGTCAAAGGTTGACAGTTCGCTTACACAGGCTCCTCCAGAGTCATCCAACTGAACTTCTCCAGTTAAAGCTGTCACTTCTGGGCCAGGGCATAAGAGCTGCTGCTAGTGGTGGTGCCGAGACCGCAGCAGGAATTCGACGGCTCTTCGCCACCTTGCGCGTTTCGAAGTCGCCGGAGTGACATCGTGTGCTTGCTTGCAACACGCAGCGCCAGACGGTAAGGTCGCCGATTTGAATTCTGAAGCGCGCATTGCCTTTTTCTATTTGGACGTTTACTATCGCTCTTAGGAGGGATGCGCAGACGTACATGTGGTACGGACGGGGGAAGCTAGCGGTAAAATGCAGCTTTGAGAAAACCAGATAGATTTACTCTTGGTGATCCTTAAGGCTTCTTAGTTCCGTCTTGCTCCTTACTTCCAGAGCACTAGCGGCCCAAACCTGCGAAAAACCAAGTTTTCCAAAAAAGTTTAGAATCATCCAGTCGTTCTTGCCGATTCTTTATGCGATACCATAGCGAAAGTCGGTCTGTGTTAGTTCCTCTTATGGAAATGATATCCTTTTACGCCTTTATATTGTATATACGTATAGCAAAAGCCACTGAACAACCAATCTACATGTCAGTGAATATCTTATAATCTATGTGCACATACAAAAATATATACATAAATTCAGGTTCCTTACAGTTTCGGTAATACCGTTTGTGAAAAAAATCGTCTACTGCGAACTAAGCGAGGAAAATCCACTGCTTGTAAAGGAAGGTGGAGTAAACTCGTCTAATAGATGAGAGACTATTATTTTAAAGTATTTGCGTTTAGAACATGGCATGATATGCTACACCTGATAAGGATATAAATCAGTTTTTTTTGACTGCTGGGAAACGGGTACGTTTGAATTGAACATTTAATAAAATGATACTTTAATTTGATATGGTTCTGAATATTGCAAAACATATTTTTAGATATCTACGACTACAAAAAGTCGGAAATTCTCAAGTCTACAATATATATATATATATATATATATATATATATATATATATATATATATATATATGCAAAATACACTTACATGTGATTTTTTTAAGCTTGAAATTCTTTTTTGAAGTTTGCTTACTATTATCGTTAGCCATATCTTGAGGAATCCGGTTTCGTATCAAGTGCTCCGCAAATTTCTTCCTCTGGAGATATTAGATTTACGTTTTTGACAAGAACATGAATGACGTTTCTCTAAGATTTGATGAAGAGAAGCGCGCCTCAGTATTACACTTTAAAAACGACAGCACATAGATGCTGTCGCCGGAAAAAGACGGTGAAAAAAGGTGAAAAAGTTATGTTGCTATAAGTTAAAATGTAATTTTGCGTGCGATAAGTTACCAAGAAGGCGGTGATACCAGTT